AGATATAATAGTGTAGAATTTAAAGGGGAAAAATAAGTAAAAGAAAGAGTAGTCTTGCCTTCTAGTTTGACTGCTTTTAGATAACACGGGCAATTAGGAACTCAACGTGCCACCACGGAGAAATGAATTGGATCAGGGTGACCTTCGTGATATTTGTGGCGCCTTTGGTCCATGTTGGGACCTGGAAGGAAAGGATCGTGGTGATTTTCTGAAACTGCTTGACAGCATATTCCAGAGAGCAGCTCTGGGAAGAAGAGGTTAAAAAAAAAAGTAGATGGTATATTTGGACACTGAAGAATTTCAGAATACCAATGAATCTGAAAGGAGTCTTTAATGTTAAAAATCCAGAATTATCTCTGCAGTCCTTGTGTCAATGCAACCCAAATGCAACCCAGCTTTCAGTCTTTTTCTGTGCCAGAACACCTCATTCCTGTAACATTTGAAAAGTTGAATTATTACTGGTGTGTTCTGATTGCATCCAAGATTTCTAGACCTTTTCTCTTTTTCATTTGCAGAAGTTACAAGTGAAGGAGGTACAGAAACCTCATCAATAATTGTCAGAAGGTCTTTGGGGCTTTTTGCTTGCTTTGTTTCCCCTGCTAGGTTGCTGACCCCCTAAGTTCTCTGCAACTGACAGGTCTGTCATGCCCAAGCAGTCACTAACTCCAGGTTTTAATGAACCTGCATTGCTTTCAGACATAAGTAGTAAGGCCTGGTCCATAGTTAGGCCTTGTAAGTGGCTTTGCTCTGTGATCCAAAGTGTAAAAATCTACCTGTGTCAGAGATCTTGAAAAGTAATGTCAGCTTATTATTCAGTAGATGTAGGGACAGAATCAATGTATGTGTAATTAATGAATATGGATGCTTTTCCTTGTCTTTCTGGAGATCACAGATGTGCAATAATAGACATTGTTCATTTTTGGTACATAGGCTTGTCGATATTCTTGTAATCCAGTACTACCRTATTGCAAGAACACATGAGGCCCAAAGCAAAATGTAAGATAACAAATTCAGCTAGTGAAAAAGGTGAAAATTGACTTTGAGGTGATGATAGAATGGTGAGAAGTTAAAGCTTTGGAAATTTTCCCTGGTGTTGTCATCCCTGTACTCCATCTTAATTTAAAATGGTGTATTGGATAGAAAAATCTCAAAAGATGTATTTTTTAATGCAAAAGCTATTTAGTCATGTATTTCAATAAAACTATATTATCACTACTTGGAGAAGCTGCACTGATCAGTGTTTCTTTCTGAATTAGGATTTCAGACTATCGTATATGTTATGACACTTGGATTGTACTGCTTTTTATGTTGTCCTTTTATAATTTAACACCAAAGTGCCAGGGAAGTTACCAAACTCCATAGTGTTTCACATACAGGTGTTTGGTCCTGTTCTGTCCTCGGTAAATTTCACGTAGGGTATGTTTAAGGGATAGCACCCATTGCCTTTGTTTTTGTGGGACAGAGCTTAGAAGCCAGGGTGTGAAAWGATTTGTCACTCTGACCCCACTGAAATCCCTGGGGACAGGGGCAGGGGAGCCATCATAGGTGTCAGGTTTGGGTACTCAAAGCGTTAGATCATAGGAAGCATTCAGATAGGCCTTATTTTTGATTATGGTTGTAGGAAAGCTTTCAGAAATCTGTTTCCCTCCAACACCCATGACTTTAATGGCTCCCTGCCACRGTACCTTTAATTTGTGATTTAGTGTTTTAGAAAAGAGTTTTGAAGTAGTTAACAAAATATTCAATGATGGAAACTTTTTTTTTTGATAAGTATTTTTATGGTGCACATCTGTACACATGAATTAGTGTTTATTAATGTAAGGATGGAACAATTTAACAATACTTAATGGGTAAGCTGGGCAGAGTAAAGMAGATAAATACGGTGGAAGGAGGGAGATGTTGATTGTGGAACTGCTGCTGTTGCAGTTGTGGTGTGTGGCAGCCAAACATGTTTGGAAGCTGCAACCTGGGGTCCCGCAATGAATAACCTTCAGTTAAAAACTAGCTCCTGGGACCTCCTTTTACAAATCAGGGGTATTCAGTTGGCAGTGGAATGTACTTCCAAGGATTCTGGTCCACATTTTCTCCATCTGGTCCATTTCTCCATGCTTATACATCTGAACTCTTCTGGGTTGTGTGTCCCTGCTACAGAGCCATAAACTACCAGCAGGATGTAGCAACAAAAGAGYGAATATGGTCAGTGATAATTGTGTTGAGTAGGGAGGGTAATAACGTGACTTATCCCAGGACCGTTCTAGGAAARCTTTTGTYTTGATACCTCCTTTTGGTAATAGTMACCTAATTAATATGACAAGCTGGCACAGAYGCTTCAAGCATTGGGTCTGTAAAGCAGTTTTCTGTTTCATCCTCCTCTTGGCTCCTTGAAGGCCTGCTCTGTGCCGCATGGATGTTCATGGTCGTTCTCTCTTCCCAAGGTGTCCTTGGGTTCCGTGGTTAGGGGTAGGTAGGAAGCAAGGAGACTATTCCCGTGGTCTCTTTTATCCCAGCTTCCAGGCCGAGTGAATTACTTGCATATTCTCTTCTAGTGGTCAGATGCACTCCTGTTGACCAAGTTCTCTATTGATGCATGTATTTTTTACAAAATAGTGAAAATCGTTAAACCGGGGCTGTGGCCCTTGGTTAGCAAGACAATAAATAGCTTTTGCAGCTTAGGCTTTTAATCAACCACAGAAAAGTGTTATAATTGTCTTGTGCCCTATGTACTGTATTCAACCAGAGAACCGCTTCAAGCATTGAGATTTGCCGAAACCCACAGGCTTTATTTATGCTGAAATGTTTTGCTGAATAGCAGAAAGTCCCAGTATAGCCAGTTTAGTAATCTCTCTTTCTGTTAATTCTGGGCTGCAATGATATGGAAAACAGTTTCCCTTTCACAGAGCACTCACTTTATTTGTAATTTTGCTCCCATTCAGTCTTTTACTCTGGTAACAACCAATTTATACCTTGATCTGTTTTCTCTTGTGCCTTCTGTTGCTCGTATCCACGTGGAAGGACAGTATTCTGCAATGTCCTGATCTCTTTCTGTCTTCAGGAAACCTTCAGTAGTTTAACCACGCCGATTTCTTGGCTCACTCCTTATTTGTGGTTTTAGGATCCAGTGACTTTTGATGCTTTAACACTCGCAAGACTGCATTTGGTTTTAAATTCTGTCTTCTGTGTACATTTGTACAAAATTTTAYTGTTAATTATATTTAGTTTGATTTTTTTTTTTTTTTCCCCAAGGAAGCATCCTCTACTCAGTTACTAGTTCTATCAGACAGGTGGAATTCAGCTACTCTTCCCAGGCCCCATTAGTTTCTGTACAATCTGCTACATTTCCCAGCTACACAAAGAGCCCTTGATGCAGAGGACTCCACTTGTGGAATATTTAATAGAAAGAAAATTGAGCCTTAACTTCTATTTGGAGTTTCTATGGTGTACCATATATTTTGACAAAAATTAATGTGCAAAAAGTTGAACTTTTTATCATATCTGAAGTTCACATGAAGTATACTTTTTCAGTTAATAATTTTTGCATGTTTCTTCACCCTTTTTTTTTTAAAATTTGCTTTATATATATGGTAGCATTGTGCCGTCTTAGTAAGTATTCTCTGTACAGTAATTGTACTGATATTCTGAAGAAAGCTAAAATAATAYGTATAAATGTATTATCTCAGTCATGAAAATTAGAGCATGAAAGCAAATCAAAGGTTTGAACTACTGTGTTTAGTGTATTTCTTGTGTTTCTTTTGGTGTAGAAATTCCRAACAGGGTATCACTGAGCAAGGTGAGTGTTTGATTCTGTATATTGCTTGCTATAATCTTCTGTTTTGTTACCAGATTCCTGGAGTAATATCACAGATTCTGCATTGTGTAACCCCTTAGCAAATTTTAGAGGAGGTGGAGCTAGGGCTGGCTAAAGAGAAATGTCAGTCTCTGCATTGTCTTTTGCTGTAGAAGTAACTGCAGGTACTCTGGAAATAACTACTACTTGAAGCAGTGTGACACTCTAGATTTTGCTCAAGCTTCCATGTTTTGGGGACTTCATATTTAATTTTCTTCATTTAATTTAGTGTATTCTTAGTGAAATTTTAAATGAGAAAATGATCGCTTAAGTAATAATATGTCTAACAGTATGGAGTTTTGACAAGCATCACAGCTGATGCTATGTTGAAAGATATCCCTTATATTAAAGGGTAAATAGTATGTTTGAGAAGGAAACCGAGGTATTTGGTGCAACTGTAAGAGTATAAAATATTTTGAACAAATATCTATTAAATATTTTTAGCACAAAAGTGAGGAAGTAAGATTATGCTTAATGAATKCTGATCTCTTTTGATACAGAATAGAGTACATTTTAAAATGAGGGGTGGATTTTAAAATGCAGTGCTTTTTCTCTAAGTGGTCCATGATATGAACTGTATCCCAAACCACTGTCTGTACTTGGAATACTACATTCTGTTGTGAGAGAACTGAATGAAAACTGCACTGAGACAACAAGTGTTGAGTTCAGGTGGTAGCATTTGTTCCTATTAAGTTTAATTTCTCCACGAAGGAACTCCCAGACTCTGTATTTAAGTAGTTATCTAGAGAGTGTGGGATGTTTTTCAGGTTGTTACGTTTCTCAGCTCTGTGATAGTGAATAAAAGCCATAATTTGTGCTTAAAGATAATATGAATCCAAAAATATTAGTGTCCTGAATTACAACGTAATTCTCAACTTCTGTGCAGGTTGTATCCAGACCACGTTTTAGTAAGAATGAAAACAGAATGTGCAAATAGGATCTTTTACCTTGTCTTTGGTTTATTGTGTAAATTGATAAGCAGAAGAGGAATATGCAGGATAATGTTCATATTGATGTCCGAACAATTTTAGATGTTGGACTTCCTTCGTCCAACATTGTCTTTTGATCCATGTATGGAGCTTCCACAGTATGTTCTGCTGCTAGTTTGCAAAAGATAGAGTATGCATTCTATAACAGTGCTATGTTATTTCTGTAGATTGACTTTCCTGGTATGTGGGGAAAAAACTTTTATTTTRTTTTTTCTCTCACAGAGGATTCTAAGCTGAGACATGTAGAAAAAGATGTTTTGATTCCGCAAATAATGAGAGAGAAGGCCAAGGAACTGTGTTCAGACAAAGTGCAAGGTAAGATTGAAATATTCATCGGAGATCAGATAGAGTCACTTCTGTGTTCTGAATGTAATCTTTTTTCCTGAAATCAAGTAGTCAGAGAATTAATATGTATGATCTGCATCTAATCCATTCAGCATGAAACCATCATATAAAACTGTCATGTTGACTTTGCTTTGTGATGGGGACTATTTTCCAACATAACTTGGACACGAGAGCTGTGGAATTTAGTATGATTGATGGAAAACTTTTCACATCTCTGTCTGGAATATGTGGTGGCAGAACAGCATGAGAATTATATTCCTGTAAGTTCTGTTCAGTACTTATAGAAATGGAATTGCCTCAYGTGAGCCTTCAGGAAGGGCCTCCTATCATCCTTATAAATAACAAATTTATTTAAATATTTCRTGCTAGCTGCCTCCTTCCCTGTCCCCCAATATTCTGATACCTGCCTTGTTAGATGGAAGTTCAGCTAGGCTGATGTATCTGCTTTTGCATGGTTCTTTTTTCTGTTGAAAGGTAGTGGCTGAGAAGCTTGATAATATCAACACTTGATATCAACACTTTCTCCTGGTAATTTGCTACTCATATATTCCTGCAAGGAATTTTGAACATTTTTGGAGTACAAGAAAGATAGACCTACACAACCAAGTCAGTCAAGAATGTTGCTGCCAGAAGGAAGTAACAGTGAAAGGAAGAAATKGAGCTCTAGATTGGTCCTAATATAGGTCATGCACATCATACAAATGCCCTTTCTTCCAATAGAGGGACTTCGCTATTTTCAGGAAAAGTTGAGAATATAGTAGTGGAGAGTTTCAGAAAGCAAACATCTAACATGTTTGCAGTTAATATTGTGGAAGCCAGGGTAGCAACACTGAATTATTGGAGAACCRCTGCTGTGAAGAGTCACAGTGCAAATTTCAGCATTTCAGGCTGATTTCATGGCGTTTCTTGATCCCTTACAGATAAGAGAAGGAAGTGTGAAGCTGTCCCGTAAATGACAAATGTTTTGGAGTCAAGTTTAGCTACAATGCATCAGTTTTCAAAAATGGTTTTCAGGGATTCACACTAATCACTTAAAAACAATATAGAGCAGTGCAGGAATTTTGCAGTGTGAGAGTGGGGAAAGAGTTGGGAATATCTGCCAGAAGGAAATGAGATCAAATGATGGATAACTTCTATTGCTGTAAGAAGAATTTAATGCTTTTGACTTTGAACTTTGTTCTTCTTGGGGAAAAAATGGGAAAAACTGCTACAGTATTGTGATCTATTGAAAGAAGAGTATAAGTTAAAAGTAATTTGTAAAAGCTATTTGTATAGTTTTATTAATTAACCTTGGGGATGGACCAGAGTGCATGGGGGGCTGGGAGGGCTGTTCTCTGGGATTTTCTTGTCTTTCTCCTGAACTTTCTTCCTGTAGGAAGAGGAGTTYGGTTTCAACTTCTTAAGGTTATGTGGCAGCAAGCCGTGTTGGAGATTCTTGAGCAGTGGGTTGTGTACAGTTGCCGAGCAGGCCCTCCTTTTTATTTTCTTTCTTTTTTTTATTTTTTCCCCCTCCATAGATTTTAAAGAAAAATACTATCAGAATTAATTTTCTTTGTGTTATTAGGCAAAATTATAATTTTAATTCTTTTTCCTGAATAGATTTCATTCTTTGGAAAACAAGGCTTGTGGAAGCTGCATGGAAGCTAGAGGTGCAAACTGAATGTTTCTTGTGCAGTTTTTATCATCAAATAGATGAGCAAGACCAGAATTCATACCCCTGTTAAGAAAGAGGCAGTAGCATCAGTTTGGTTATTTTGTTATGCACTTTTAATGTACATTGGAAGTAAAGCAAAGCACAGGAAATCAAGCTTAAGTAGTTTTGAGAGCAGCAGAATTTATCATCCCTTTGTGCARTTATTCCTGAGATAAATTTGTCTTGTTAGGACACAGAAATGGGTGTCAATAAAAGTGAATAGGCTGTGCTCTTTATGCTGTAAACAATTACAAGCTCTGAATACAAGCTGTGTAATTAAGCAATCCAAACTCCAGAGATTTGGTGTGTGCGCATGTGTGTGCAGTTGTGCTCCTTAGACCAAGGGCATAGGTGCTCATTTAACTTGTTCCCACTATAAGATTTGTTTTTTCCTGGTTTATGTTGTTCTGTTTGAACAACTCCTCTGTTAACATATCTGTGTTTCATTTTGTCTTTAGGAAATTGTGGTGAGTGCGCTGGCAGCGCAGGCAAAAAAGCTGTTCTACAGTATGAGTCCTTACAATGTCCTCTATCACACTGGGTTCATATCTGTCCCTATAGGGAGCCCATATACATTCAGTAGGTCTCTGCGTGAGCACRGGGGTCCATCTGTATACAGTCCATTGCCTTAGCCTGCAGCTATACCACCTAGAGCTGTGAGCTGATCAGAGCTAATAATCCAGGCAGTGACAGGCTGTCCAGCATGTGTGCAGGAGAATCCTGGGGACACCCCCGAAGGATTTAAGAAAGAAAGAAAGGAAAAAAAAAGAGAAGGTTTTGTTAACTCAAGAGGTGAGTTAAGGGCTGCTCTCAGGGCTGCTACCCTAGCATGGTTAAGTGGGTGACCCGTAGCAGCCCTTGTGTGTTAAGGTGTTATAGTACTTTAAGGGTGAAATAAAAATGAAAATGTTTACATTCAGTAATTTTTAATAACAATTGAAGTGTTGGGCCTGGTCATGTTTCATTTTGTTTAAATTTACATTTACCTCTATTTTAGATTGTTGTGTTGTTGTTGTAGTGGTTGTTACATATATCAAGAATTTAATACTTCATAGTTGCAGATTAATTTTGTGTATAATTTTTTCAGTCACTTTTCTAGTGAAAAATGTTATAAAAAGAGTATTGCTTAAATGGTAGACATGCTTCCTGCAACACACATACGTGTTTCTTATGACCATTACATAAACACATCTGTGTTAATATGCATGAAATGTGTGGTAATTGTGTGCTGGGAGTTTTTGGTGTGTAATTTTGTGCTATTATTGGAGAATTACATAAGAAAAATTTTCTTCCTTAAGTAGCATAAGAAACCATTGTCATACGGTAATTTTTCAGTGCATTTATACAGACAGTGGTGCATGAGTTGATCTAGAATTAGATCAAGATTCACATATCCCTCCATCMGCACATCCTTGGTATACATATATGTGCTGTCAAAGGGAAAGAGGAGCCATTAACTCATCCGTTGCTTTTATAAAATGAGTTCTTGAAAGAGTTACTTTTTTATATATATATATATATAGCTCTTCAAGTTTTTGGCTGTAATTGCCAGTTACCCGTTACAAAATTTTAATTTCTAGTAAATTTCTTTGCCATAGCAAATTTCAGGAACCGAAAGTTAGCATTTTTTATTGGGAGGATTATATTGAGTTGACCAAAACTTGCCTGGTTTTATCTAGTCCGCACAGGCTCTGTTTTGTGTGTGCCTGCTGCGCTCTGTGCAGAGCGTGTCGGCTTGCCGTGGTCGTACACGCAGGAGTGTTTGCTGCATTTCACAGGAGCGCATACTTGGCAGCTTGGAGTTAATGGTTTGGCTTTTGGCTTTGGCTTTTAGCTTGATGGATTTAGGTACAGAGGACTCTTGAACAGAAATACATGATTGTTAACACCTCGTACTCTAAGCTTAGTGTCATGTGGGTTGCTTGGAAAGCAAGCTGACTAGCTGACTTCCACAGGTGATGGATTTGGGTTCAGAAGAAGCCTTCTGAAGCTGAGATCTGGAAAAGAAGATGCTCAGGTCATTGTGCTAGTCATCAAAGTTTGCCTTCTGTTTGTTTGTTGTGTTATAAAGTAACACCCGTAGGTTTTTTGCTGGGAGAAGGATCTTGCTCTTGTGGGAGGGGATTTTAGCCTTCAGTTCACGCAGCTTTGTTTCTCCTGATGTTAAGTGCTAGTCCTCATGCATCCAGTGTCTACCACTGATGCACAATCTGGGCTTGGGCTTTCCAAAGGCAGTAAGAATGACCTGCAGGTGACATCTGTAACTTCGACTCACTTGTACAGTTCCCAGGGTTCGTAGCTGAGTTGTATGTAATTTCCAAGGTAACTACAGATCTGCTATTAGGAAATCAGTGAAGTTATGGAAACAATTTGGATATTTGAAGACCTGRTCCTGTGGGTGATTTGAAGATGAATGAAATGTGCTCGTTTCTCATTTGAAACTTGTTATGGGAGGAATCCACTGGCTTGACCAAAGAGATGAGGTTTTTGCTTTTAGGTTTTTTTTCCTGCTGTTTTTCATTTGTAATAAAGGGAAATAAAAGAAAGGTGTATCCAATTGTGCTACGTTGAGGAGCTTTCCTGGAACAAATGGTTATGGTGATTCTGTTATCTGTAGAAAGTGTACAGTTAAAACAACCGTGGCTTCAAATGGGTAACAAACCTCTTAAAACTGGCAGTGCTTTAAAAGACATGTTTGGAAAGTGTGGCTGGAAAAGGACATTTCTAAGCCGCCTTCCTCCTCCCGTCCTTYAGTTTCTCCATTAGCTCTCTTCTCCTCAGGGCTCGTGTTGATACTTAGTGAAGATGATGGGATGCAACACTACTGCAGGCTTCCCTACAGTAGAGCATGGCCAATGTCAACCAGAGTTTCCATAACGTGTAGTTACTCAACAGTCCTGTCACTGACATTGTTTCTGTCCCTGTAGGGGCCACCTGCTCTAGACCATGACCCTTACACCTGACACATCAAGGCCCATATAAACAAAGCAGCCCCAGTGATGGAACTGCACTTGATGCTGCCCATTTAAATGTCTGAGAATGTGTTTGGTATTTCTTCTTCCAAAGAAAAACAATCATCTTGTTATGCTGTCTTACCAGAAGCGCAGATCCAGAAATGTGTGACATACTTAGGWAATTTCAGTTTGATGTTACTCAGTTATGAGCAAATATTACTCGTTTCCTTTGTAATGCGGGCCAAGTTCTGTTCATTGATGCAAAACGTCACATCATGTTGGGACAAATCAATCGGTACCTACGATCACAGTTCTGTGTTTGA